CGTCGATGACAGATGATGCTTGCAACCCTCCCACACCATTGCTGGCTTGGTAATAGGACCAGACAAACGCAGCCACGTGACCCGGCGGAAGAAAAACGCCCGGAACGAGCGCTTCCACCCCCAAAGCGAGGAAGGATCCGCACATGTGCAGGAAGTGCAGCGGGCGCTCTTCATTCGTGAGCGTCGATGACCGATGATGCTTGCGACCCTCCCATGGCCTTGCTGGCTTGGTAATAGGACCAGACAAGCGCAGCCACGTGACCCGGCGGAAGAAAAACGCTCGGAACGAGTGCTTCCACCCCCAAAACGCGGATGGATCCGCACATGTGCAGGAAGTGCAGCGGGCGCTCTTCATTCTCGAGCACCGATGACCGATGATGCTTGCGACCCTCCCACGGCCTTGCTGGCTTGGTAATAGGACCAGAAAAACGCAGCCACGTGACCCCATGGAAGAAAAGCGCTCGAAACAAGCGCTTAGACCCCCAAAACGCGGAAGGGCCAGAACATGTGCAGAAAGTGCAGCGGGCGCTCTTCATTCGCGAGCGCCGATGACCGATGATGCATGCAACCCTCCCACACCCTTGATGGCTTGGTAATAGGACTAGGCATCTCAGCCACGTGACCCGGCGGAAGAAAAACGCTCGGAACGAGTGCTTCCACCTCCAAAACGCGGAAGGATGCGCACATGTGCGGGAAGTGCAGCGGGCACTCTTCATTCGTGAGCGCAGATGACCGATGATGCTTGCGACCCTCCCACTCCCTTGCTGGCTTGGTAAATGGACCAGACAAGCGCAACCACGTGACCCGGCGGAAGAAAAACGCTCGGAACCAGCGCTTCCACGCCCTAAACGCGGAAGGATCCGCACATGTGCAGAAAGTGCTGCGGGCATGCAACATTTGCGAGCGCCGATGATCGATGATGCTTGCAACCCTTCCACGCCCTTGCTGGCTTGATAATAGAACCAGATAAGCGCAGCCACATGACCCGGTGGAAGAAAAATGCTCGTAACGAGCACTTTTACCCCAAAAACGCGGAAGGAGCCGCACACGTGCAGGAAGTGCAGCGGGCGCTCTTCATTGGCGAGCGCCGATGACCGATGATGCTTGCGACCCTCCCACGGATTTGCTGGCTTGGTAATAGGACCAGATAAGCGCAGCCACGTGACCCAGCGGAAGAAAAACGCTCGGAACGAGCACTTCCACCCCCAAAACGCGGAAGGATCCGCACATGTGAAGGAAGTGCAGCGAGCGCTCTTCATTCGCGAGCGCTGATGACCGATGATGCTTGCGCCCCTCCCACGCCCTTGCTGGCTTGGTAATAGGACCAGAAAAGCGCATCCACGTGACCTGGCGGAAAGAAAAACGCTCGAAACGAGCGCTTCCACCCCCAAAACGCGGAAGGATCCGCACATGAGTAGGTAGTGCAGCGGGCGCTCTTCATTCGGGAGCGCCGATGACCGATGATGCTTGCGACCCTCCCACGGCCTTGCTGGCTTGGTAATAGGACCAGATAAGCTCAGCCACATGACCCGGCGGAAGAAAAATGCTCGGAACGAGCGCTTCTACCCCCAAAACGCGAAAGGAGCCGCACATGTGCATGAGATGCAGCGGGCGCTCTTCATTCGCGAGCGCCGATGACCGATGATGCTTGCGACTCTTCCACGGCTTTGCAAGCTTGGTAATAGGACCAGACAAGTGCAGCCACGTGACCCTGCGGAAGAAAAACGCTCGGAACGAGCACTTCCACCCCCAATACGCAGAAGGGCCAGCACATGTGCAAAAAGTGCAGCGGGCGCCCTTCATTCGCGAGCGTCGATGACAGATGATGCTTGCAACCCTCCCACACCATTGCTGGCTTGGTAATAGGACCAGACAAACGCAGCCACGTGACCCTGCGGAAGAAAAACGCCCGGAACGAGCGCTTCCACCCCAAAAACGCGCACATGTGCGGGAAGTGCAGCGGGCGCTCTTCATTCGCGAGCGCCGATGACCGATGATGCTTGCAACCCTCCCACGCCCTTGCTGGCCTGGTAATAGGACCAGAAAAGCGCATCCACGTGACCCGGCAGAAAGAAAAACGCTCGGAACGAGCGCTTCCACCCCCAAAGCGAGGAAGGATCCGCACATGTGCAGGAAGTGCAGCGGGCGCTCTTCATTCGCGAGCGTCGATGACCGATGATGCTTGCGACCCTCCCATGGCCTTGCTGGCTAGGAGCAGACAAGCGCAGCCACGTGACCCGGCGGAAGAAAAACGCTCGGAACGAGTGCTTCCACCCCCAAAACGCGGATGGATCTGCACATGTGCAGGAAGTGCAGCGGGCGCTCTTCATTCTCGAGCACCGATGACCGATGATGCTTGCAACCCTCCCACGGCCTTGCTGGCTTGGTAATAGGACCAGACAAACGCAGCCACGTGACCCCATGGAAGAAAAGCGCTCGAAACAAGCGCTTAGACCCCCAAAACGCGGAAGGGCCAGAACATGTGCAGAAAGTGCAGCGGGCGCTCTTCATTCGCGAGCGCCGATGACCGATGATGCATGCAACCCTCCCACACCCTTGATGGCTTGGTAATAGGACTAGGCATCTCAGCCACGTGATCCGGCGGAAGAAAAACGCTCGGAACGAGTGCTTCCACCTCCAAAACGCGGAAGGATCCGCACATGTGCGGGAAGTGCAGCGGGCACTCTTCATTCGCGAGCGCAGATGACCGATGATGCTTGCGACCCTCCCACTCCCTTGCTGGCTTGGTAAATGGACCAGACAAGCGCAACCACGTGACCCGGCGGAAGAAAAACGCTTGGAACCAGCGCTTCCACCCCCTAAACGCGGAAGGATCCGCACATGTGCAGAAAGTGCAGCAGGCATGCAACATTTGCGAGCGCCGATGATCGATGATGCTTGCAACCCTTCCACGCCCTTGCTAGCTTGATAATAGAGCCAGATAAGCGCAGCCACATGACCCGGTGGAAGAAAAACGCTCGGAACGAGCGCTTTTACCCCAAAAACGCGGAAGGAGCCGCACCCCCAGACCCAGGGTCTCCAGCAGTAGCACCCTCAGGCTCAGCACCTCCAGCCCCACCAGCTCCAGTACCTCCAGTACGAGCACCTCCGGGACCAGCACCACCCCCAGCTCCAGTGACGTCAGCAGAAGTACCTCCAGCGGCAGAGCCCCGAGCTCCAGAAGCGCGACCCTGACGGCGACCGTACCAGTCGTGCAGCTGCTGTGAGGTGAGAGGCACACGCGGACGAAGGCAGCTACTCCAAGGAGACTGCGCAATAGCAGACTCAGAACCCTCAGGCATCGCACCCCCAGACTCAGTACCCCCAGGCTCCTCACGCTCGGGCTCAGCACCCCCAGACACAGCACCCCCAGGCTCAGGACCTCCAGGCTCCCCACACGCAGGCTCAGCACCTCCAGGCTCCTCACGCTCGGGCTCAGCGCCCCCAGACTCCGCACCCCTAGGCTCCGCACCCCCAAGTCCAGCACCCCCAAAGACAGCACCACCCCCAGTAGGAGCGGAGTCACCAGTGACCTCAACAGGCGCAGGCAAGGGAGGGTCTACAAGAGAAACACCTGAAGGAGCAGGACCTGGCGCGGGGAGGGGGTCTATCCGGGGAGGACCTGGAGCGAGAAAGAGCGGCGGGGGGGGGGGGGGGCGAGGGGCAGTGCGGTAGGGAAAGAGGCGGTAAAAGGGAACGGACTCGTCAAAGGTAACGTCCTGAGACGGAAAGACGCGGCACGAGGCGGGGTCATAAAACTGCCAGCCAGGCGCGTCAGGGACAAAGACAAGGAAGACGCAGGGAATGGCGCGAGCGGAGAGCTTGTCCGCGATGGTATCGCGGACAAAGGCACGAGCACCCCAGACCCGGAAACGCGACGCATCGCCAACCTCCCCCGTCCACAGCAGTGTGGGCGAGGTCTCCGGCAAGGAGACACGGGGCCAGAGGTTGAGCTGATGCACGGCGTATCGGACCGCAAACGGCTACAGAAAAGGGGGGGCAGCCGCATGGATCATGGAGGTACGAGCGACCTCCATGACTAAGCCAATGCGGCGCTCAGCAACCCCATTCTGCCGAGGAGAGGCCGAAAGCGTGAACGTCTGACGGATGCCGTGCTCCGCACAGAAGGCTGCCAAGAGGTCGGAGGAGAACTCACCACCTCTGTCAGAGTGCCAACGCAGGACAGGAAAGTCCGAGTGGAACCGCTCGCGGAGCTGGAGACGAACAGCGCGGATCCAGGGGATCAAAACATCAGGCACCTCCCCCTTGCGCTGCAAGGGGAAGACCGTGGTGTAACGCGTGTAGTCGTCGACTACCAGCAGGAAGTACCGCTCGTGGCCCTGTCCACGGACGCGGGCTGGGCCCCACACGTCCAGGTGGAGAGTCTGCAGGGGAGCCTCTGTGGGAGGGAACGAGGAGGAGTGAGGAGCGGTGCGCTGCCGCCCCTCGACGAGGGAGGGAGGGCAGGCAGAGACCTGGGAAGGCCAGAGACCAGGAAGCGAGAGTGCATGCTACAAAGGCGAGGCAGGGAGGGGTGACCAAGGCAGTGGTGCCACAGGAGAGTGTCGTGCGACAGTCGGCGACACTCACACTGGGTAGCTACCTGAGCAGACGCGTACAGCTGGGGAGACAAAGGGGTGGAGTGCGACGCAGTGGTGAGGGTGTACAGACTGGACCCACGCGCACGTGTGAACGTGGCCAGGTGGCGGCCGGTCCGAGAGCACGTGCAGATTGCCACACGCTGCCCTCCAGGAGTACAGGTGTCAACCCAATGATCCTGAAGGACGGCGTTGCTCACCAAGTTCATAGAGAACGAGGGGAGGTGGAGACCAGACAGCTCACCAGACGGGACCGTCGGACACGGAAGCACAGTGGAAGACTGTGCAAGCACTGGGCCCCCAGAGGGGTCAGCCAGTGAGACAGGGACAGGTGCAGGGAGGGGATTGACTATGGTGCTGTCGCGAAAGAAACAGCGGGAAGCACCAGAGTCAAGTGTCAAGATGTGCAGGGCCTGTGAGGACGCAGTACTAGGGGGAGCAGACTCACAAGCACCTAGAGCTGCAGGCGCTATACCTGGGGCTATACCGGGGTCAGGTGGCACACACAAGTAGCAGTCACCCTCAGCACTAACAGTCAATGCATACATGGCAGCAAGGATAGCATCATAGTCAAGATCAAAGATAGGTACATCACGCCTAAGCAGGTCTGCCCAGTTGAGGAACTCAGTAGCATCAGGAAACTAGACGCGCCAGGCGTCGCTAAGCCGAGCGAAGCAGCGGTACTCAGTGTGAAAGCCGGTGCACTGGCGGCCAGCTCGGGGACCTGCGCGAATGATATAGGGGCAGCGACCAGGACCCCCAGACGCCCCACGCCCGGCATACCAGTCATGAAGCTCCTGGGAAGTGGGGGTCTGGCGCTGACGCTGCTGCGGCTGCTGCTGCTGCTGCTGCTGCTGCTAGTGTCCCTGGCCACCACCGGCCTCACCCAAGCCCCCACCACCGCCGCCACCACCACTCCCCCTTCCGCCACCACTGCCGCCGCCACCGCCACTTCTCCCGGCACCACCACCGCCCCCACCACTACCTCCACCCCCACGACCACCGCCACTACCTCCACCGCCCCCACCGCCTCCACCACCGCCCCCTCCACCGCCACGTCTGCCACCCCTGCCACCCTTGCCTCCCCTGAAGCCGCTGCGCTTCCCACTCGGAGCGGAAGCAGCTGCGGCCTTCTCAGCACCAAGGAGGTCGACAGCAGCAGCTGCGGAGGCGTAGAAGGGGGTAAGAGGGGAGGGGGAGCACCCCTCAAAGAGGGGAGTGCGGGGAGTGCCACGAGCAGCACCTACAGCTAGAATGTTCTTCTTGGCTGCTAGGAGGTGCTTCTCGAGGTCGTCTACAGTGAGAGAATGGGGGTCAAGGGCGAGGAAGTGGTCCCTGACTGAGCGAAGAGTGTCAGGGAGGCGGGTGATGAGGAAGTAGAGAGTAAAGTACATCGGAGGGTGGTTCTCTGCGAGGAACTCGGCTGGAAGGGCGGCACGAAGGCGAGTGTCACTAGCGCGTAGGTGAGAGATGAGGTCCTCAGCAGTGGTAAACGAGGACAGGTCGGGGAACAGGTAGGGTAGCATAAGTCGACCGAGGGCTGCAGTGGCCGGGGAAGAGTAGCGGGCAACTACAGTGTCATACAGTGCCTTGGCAGTCTTGTGCTGGCTAAAATGCGCGCGCTCTGTGATCGGCAGATGGTTGCGAATAGCGAGGCGTGCAGCAGCATCGTGGGTCTGCCACTGGGAGCGGTCTAGAGCAGGCTCAGTGTCAGCAGGAGCAACGGCAGTGCCAGACACGTAATCGAACAGGGAAGCACCGTCCTTGGCATCAGTCAGATTGCAGGTCGTCAAGCCAGGTGGCGAACTCTACTGGACGACCGTCAAGATCGAACGCGAGCACGTTGAGAGTCGCCATGCTTGCAGCACAGGTAAGACTAGCGCGCAGGCGGCAAAGCAAAGTGCAGGACAGGAGAGGCTGCGTGCAAGGCTGCAGTGGTGGCGCACAAGCTGCTAGGGCGGCGTGCAGGGCAGCAGTGGGCCGCGTGCGGGCTCCTAAGGCGTCTCGCGGGGCAGCAGTGGGCCGCACACGAGCTCCTACAGCGGCGCGCGGGGCAGCAGCGCACCACGCGCACTCCTAAGGCGGCTGCCAGGTCAGGAGGGGGCTGCGCGGGCGGCGGACGCGGCGCGCGGGGCCTAAGCGGGCTGCGCGCGGGCGGCTTAAGCGGCGCGCGGGCCGGCAGCAGGCTGCGCGGGCGGCTGACGCGGCGCGCGGGGCCGAAAACGGGCTGCGCGGGCTGCTTAAGCGGCGCGCGCTAAAAAAAAGGATACGCGCGCGTGCAGCCGAGGCGCGCGCGGGCAGCAGGCAAGGCAGGCAGGCAGGCAAGGCCGTAGGTGAGGTAACGTGGTAACAGATGGGCCCTAATCTTAGGTCCTAAAGACCTACTGCTCTAGATACCATCTTAGAACTAGGCAGGAATGAGTTTGACTATCGAGAGATTTTGGTACAAGGAAGAAACCTAAGGGGTTGTACCCCACAGTATCTACCCCACTACAGCCTACCCAAAACTATAACATATGTATATGTTTGACAAATTGCAGGCACCTACACGGGCTATAGGGGAAGGGATGGAGAGGGGAGTGCTGGTGCTAAGTCTGCTGGTGAGTGAAAGAGGAGGGGCCCACGAGTACAAGGTGGTAGCGAAGCAAGCACATGTAGCAGGGAAGAGAGGCGGGAGGGCAGAGGGACAGAGCAGCAGAGAGGCACAGGGGCAGAGGCGAGAGGGACAGAGAGGCTGCTGGGGCAGGTCAAAGCACGCGGTTCGAGGTGGTGCGAGGCAGTGTGCGGCGGTGTGATGTGGTGCACTTGCCATGACCCATGCTTCCTGCCGCCGCCGCCACCGCAGCCGGCACCGCCACTACTTGTCAATGCTGCCAGCATGGTTGCTGTGATTGGTGGTACTCCTCAAGTGACTCACTGCAAGCATGATGAAAGGAGAGACAACCGCAGCAACAATAGTTAGTTGGTGGGTGAGGCCTTGTAGATGCGTGGAGACCCGATGAGATCCAGTCAGAATGCATAAGTATCCGGACCAAGGATGCGGCAAAAAGGACGAGGACAGAAGGACGAGACAGCATCAACATGACACACCCGGAGTGCAGAGAAAAGATGAAGGAGCAGGAAGGAGGAAGGAAGAAGGAGGAAGGAGGAAGGAGGGAGGAGGATGCCAGAGGGGAAGTCAGTAGCTGGGTGCGGCATTGCAAAGGTAAGAAGAACCTACAAGAGCAAGATAAAACGAAAAGGCCAAAGGCCAAGAGATGAGGCAAAAAAGGCCGAGGAGAGAAGCCAAATGCAAAAACATTGAAAAGAAAATCGACAAACTCCATTAATCAAAGGGCGAGAAGGAGCACATGGGAGGGGCTACCGATGAAGGCTACACCCCCACCAGTCACAGAAACGATGTGGGGTTATGCAGGGGGGTGAACTTACCAGGTAGGAGAGAACGGGTGCAGTTAGAGGGATGCGCATCGTGCCATAACGGCAGCGACAGAATGGGCGTGGTTGCTGAGGACTAGTGTTGACTGGTGTTGACTGGCGTTGACTAGTGTTGACTGGCGATGACTGGTGTTGACTGGTGTTGACTAATGATGACTGGTGTTGACTGGTGTTGCATGTCGATGACTGTTGTTGACTGGTGTTGACTGGTGTTGACTAATGTTGACTGATGTTGACTGCAGCCGCCGCTCTGCGGCTCTGCCACCTGCAATCCATTCGCCTTGAGACCAGAGGCGGAGAAGGGACAGAAAGAAGGAATTGCAAAGGAAACGGATTGGCCTAGGAACTTGAAACGAATGGGAGCAGCAAGAACGTCAAGGTGGCAACAGAGGAGAAGCAGTGACGAGCGAGCATTGAGAAACTTGAGAACGGAGCACAGCGAAAAAGGAGTGATTGGATTTTGGTGGGAGGTGAGAGAGGTGGAACAGGGTAGGCGCATGGCGACAGTGGCCCACGGCACTACAGCAGCGAGCTGAGCCAGCGAGGGGGAACTGAGGTAGAGAGGGGCGCGCGCATGGCATGAATGCTCTCCCACCACTCCCACTACACTGCACTCTACATGAGCTCTGCTGCCATAGCACCACGGACCACCACCATGCACCAAGAGACGGACGCGTTGTGAAATTTGTCCAAAGTGAAAGCGACAAATGGGGATAGCAAAGGACTAAGGAAGGGGAGGATGGGGCACGGAGCGGAGACTTAGCTACAGGAGAAGCGTGGACGCAGAGATTAAATGAGCCAAGTCAGCAGAAATCCTCCCGGGCGGCAGCAGCCAGCATCAGCGTTCCACGCACATCATTGCCATCCAATGAACGTGGCGTGCGATTGTTGGCTGTTGGGAGCGGAAGAAGGAAGGGGGGGGGGAGAGGGTTGAGTTATGTAAGAGAACTTGCCTGACAGCCCAACTGCCCTTTCGGCATGAGCAACGAGGAGTTAAGGGGAATAAGAGATACACAGGTGGGGAATAAGAGGTATGTAGCATAAGACAAAGAAGGACTTCTTTCAAGATGGGAAATGACGTGCCCCACTGAGCCACACACTATGCCTATGCTTGCCAAGGACTCGGACCATGGTTTAAAAGGGGCAGAGGGGAGGGCGTACCTAAAAAGAAGGTGCAAAGGGGAGTGGTGGGTGCAAGTGGTGCGAGTGGTGCTGAAACAAGGCTGAGTAACACGGATGAAGGCAGCGGTGAAGGGAGTGTGCGATGCACCATTCACCCACCTATGCTACCGGTTGAGTGCAAAATTGCAAGAACAAGGGCCTAGCGTGTGCAAAATTGCAAGAACAAGGGCCCAGCGTGTGCAAAATTGCAAGAACAAGGGCCTAGCGTGTGCAAAATAGCAAGAACAAGGGCCTAGCGTGTGCAAAATTGCAAGATAAAGGGCCTAGTGAGTGCAAAATAGCAAGAACAAGGGCCTAGCGTGTGCAAAATAGCAAGAACAAGGGCCTAGCGTGTGCAAAATTGCAAGAACAAGGGCCTAGCTTCTGCAAACTTTCAAGAACAAGGGCCTAGCGGGTGCAAAATTTCAAGAACAAGGGCCTAGCGTGTGCCAAATTGCAAGAACAAGGGCCTAGCGTGTGCAAAATTGCAAGAACAAGGGCCTAGCGTGTGCAAAATAGCGAGAACAAGGGCCTAGCGTGTGCAAAATTGCAAGAAATTAGGGCCTAGCGTGTGCAAAATTTCAAGAACAAGGGCCTAGCGAGTGCAAAATTGCAAGAACAAGGGCCCTACCGTGTGCAAAATTACAAGAACAAGGGCCTAGCGTGTGCAAAATTGCAAGAACAAGGGTCCAGCGTGTGCAAAAAAGCAAGAACAAGGGCCTAGCGTGTGCAAAATTGCAAGAACAAGGGCCTAGCGTGTGCAAAATAGCAAGAACAAGAGCCTAGCGTGTGCAAAATTGCAAGAACAAGGGCCTAGCGTGTGCAAAATAGCAAGAACAAGGTCCTAGCATGTGCGAAATAGCAAGACAAAGGGCCTATCGTGAGCAAAATAGCAAGCACAAGGGCCTAGCGAGTGCAAAATTGCAAGAACAAGGGCCTAGCGTGTGCAAAATTGCAAGCACAAGGGCCTAGCGAGTGCAAAATTGCAAGAAGAAGGGCCTACCGTGCGTAATATTGCAAGAACAAGGGCCTAGCGTGCGCAAAATTGCATGAACAAGGGTCCAGCGTATGCAAAATAGCAAGAACAAGGGCCTAGCGTGTGCAAAATTGCAAGAACAAGGGCCTAGCAAGTGCAAAATTGCAAGAACAAGGGCCCAGCGTGTGCTAAATAGCAAGAACAAGGGCCTAGCGTGTGCAAAATAGCAAGAACAAGGGCCTAGCGAGTGCAAAATTGCAAGAACAAGTGCCTAGCGTGTGCAAAATTTCAAGAACAAGGGCCTAGCGGGTGCAAAATTGCAAGAACAAGGGCCTACCGTGTGCAAAATTGCAAGAACAAGGGCCTAGCGTGTGCAAAATTGCAAGAACAAGGGTCCAGCGTGTGCAAAAAAGCAAGAACAAGGGCCTAGCGTGTGCAAAATTTCAAGAACAAGGCTCCAGCGTGTGCAAAATTACAAGAACAAGGGCCTAGCGTGCGCAAAATTGCAAGAACAAGGGACTAGCGTGTGCAAAATTGCAAGAACAAGGGCCTAGCATTTAGAAAGCTTGCTTTCTCTTACTTATCATTTGGCATCGTTCTCATTTCAACTGGCAAATTACAACATGCACCTCGAGCTAGGAAACAAAAGTGCTAGTACATGTTACTATAGTGCGTATCAATCATTGTACTAGCGATTCATCATGCTACTTGATGTCTATCATGCTACAGGCTATCGATCTTCTCGTTCAAGCGGCGTCGATGATTTCCGTCAGTGTTGGGGCGGGGGGTGGGAGAGTTGCATGAGCCGTTGGAAAACGAGAGACGTGGGTGGAGGGAAATGAGCTCCAACCCACGATTTGTAGTTGGAGAAGGGCGTTTAGCGCGCTTCGACGATGCCAAAACATGCGTTACAAGCAGCTGCGCTTTCGAAACACGTAATTTTGAAAAACACTTCGTGTGTTAAAAAATTATAATATTTAGAAAGCTTGCTTTCTCTTACTTATCATTTGGCATCGTTCTCATTTCAACTGGGGTCCTTGAGACATGGGTAGCAGGGGCTTCCGATGACGGATGAGTGCCTCTGCGTGCTGTGCTGAGGACGGGGCATGATTCAGATCCTGCAACTGGCGGGAGGCGTTGATGAGATGTTCGGCATTAGGCGTGACGTACATCTCCTTGGCTGCGTCACTACGCCATCGGCCCAGCCGTTTGAAGATTCTGTCTGGCTCGCCGGTGTTTGCCGCGGCAGTGGCTGCACCCTTGCGAAAGGAATGAGTGCCCAGCTGTTGTTCTCCAAGTCCGATCTTCCCAAAGGCCTCTTTGCACCAGTTTCGGATTGTCGGATACGACGGTGGCCTTGCTTGGCCACCTTGGGTGGAACCATGACCGAAGGTCCAAATCAGCGGCCCCCTTGATTGCTGATCATATCCGGCGAGTCGAATGAGTCGTCGAGTGCCGCGGACAGGGCAGAACGGATCGTGTGTTGCGGCGATAGGTATCCATGTGCCTTTTCCAGCTTGGTCCGTCTTGGAGTACGGAATTAGGATCCACATGACCTCGTCGTCGAACTGGATGTCTTGCCACTCGATGGCGACGAGGTCTGAGTATCGCAGGAATCCAGAGTACATGAGAATGGGGATGAGCCCCTTCTGGAATTCGCCGGGGTTATCAGATCGCAGGTATCCTGCCGACATGTCACTGACTTGTTGCAGCGAGACTGGCTCCTTCACTCTCGTGGGGCGAGGACAGTGTCGTTTCGCAAAGTCGCGTACTTGAGTGGTGAATGGTCCTGCCGTTGGGCATGCGCTCCCAGTCATGCGGTGGGCGAAGCTCACGGCTGAGCAGGTGAGTTGTACCATGGATAGGGTGGCCTTGCGTTTGATGGCGTACACCAGGAACAGTGCGAGGGTCATGTCTGCCGCGGGGAGGAATGGGAGGTTCACCTTTGCACAGAAGGCTCGAAACTTGACCCAGTATGGCTCGTACGTTTGGATCGTTGAGTCGGCACGAGACTGTGAGAGCATCTTTAGAAGCTGGACTTGTAGCTTTGGCAGTACGTCTGCGCGAAGGAGGACGAGATGGGTTAGTTGAAGACCACTCGCAATGCGACGATTGTACCATGAGGCAATCCTATGCCTGAGAAAGCGGTGCGGTGCGAGCCTACTGCTAAACATTGGCTGCCGTGCGTCAGGGGAATTTGTGCTTGGATATGCGGGGCCCAGCTAGGTGGGGAGGGTTGTAGGAGCGGCCACCAGGTTGCCCCTGGCCAGTGTGGGACAACGAGGGTGAATGAGGCGTGGGTGCGTTGTGCGTGGTGGATGACTGCTGGGATTAACTGGGGTGGCGGGAACGCGAAGCCATTCTCGGTCGACCATGAACTCGAGAATGCGTCGATTGCAGTGGCCTCCGGATGTGGTATTTTTGAGCAGAATCGTGGCAGCTGCGAGTTGTTTGGGCTTGCGAAAAGGTCGATTGAGTGGGGACCCCAGCGGCAATTGAGGATGCGGAACCATGGTTGTTTCAAGGAGTAATCGTCGTGGTCGATCATTTTGGACAGCTCATCTGCATGGGAGTTTAGCTCGCGCGGGATCCATTCAACAATTAATCGAGTGCCGAGCTCCATGCATGTGCGGATGATGTCCTTGCAAGCGGTGCTGAGGTCGGGGGTGCGAGAGCCGCCTTTGCGGAGGATGAAAAAGACCCCTTGGTTGTCCACCCTCACGAGCACGTGTTTTTGCTGAACCTTGTTCGCGTACGTTCGAAGGGCCCAAAGGACGCCTTCGATTTCCCTCCGAGTGCTGGACGTCATTTGTAGTGGTTCTGGCATGGCTGCGCTTGCCTCTTCGAGTTCACCAGGGAAGGTGAGCAGGGTGGCGCCCCAACTATGAGAGCTGGCGTCCACGTGAATTACCGCGTCGTAACTGTTCCGAACGTGGAATGGTGCGCCATTAAATTTGTCGAACTCTTCAAGCCAGAACTGCAACTCTTCAGCAACGGGGGGGGAAATGCTCAAGCTGCTTCCCTAGGATGGCGCGTCGTTAATTGCTTGTAGCATTGCGTGGCTGAATGCACGAGTCGTGGCGCCGAGTGCGACGGCCATCGACGCGAGTGTGCCGGTGATTCTGGCCAGGTGGCGGACTGGAACCTGTCGGCGCGCTTTGCTTGCGTCCAGTAGGTTCCGAATGTGTGCATGAAGTGATGCCCGTCGATCGGTGCCAATGGAGAATTGACCAGATTTGGTGTCCAACTCGACGCCCAAGAATCGCAGATGTTGTGATGGTAGCAGCTGCGATTTTTTCGCGTTAATCACCAAGCCCGCCATCTTGAGGTCCGAAATTATCTGCTGGCATGTTGCTTGTGCGTGGGCCTTGGACGTGCATAAGAACAGGATGTCGTCCACATAGGGTATCACTCGAACGCCTTGTTCACGCCAGCGCCTGGCTAGTTGTTTGATGAGCTGCGTGAAGACAAATGGTGCCGTGGCGAGGCCGAAGGGTAGTGAACGGAAGGCGTACGTGCGCCCTTCAAATTCGAAGCCCAGGAATTTCCAGCAAGAGTTGTGTATGTCGATATGGTGGTATCCCGATTTGAGGTCGATGGAGAACATCCAATCTCCCATGCGTGCCAGGTCGGCCACACGGCTTAGGCCTTCGTATTTGAATTTAGGGATGGTCAGGTGCGCGTTCACTTTCCTGAGGTCGAGGATTAGCCTGCATTTTTCTCGTTGCTCAACCACGTTGAGTGGGCTTATGCATGTGAGCTCCGCTGCTGGGGTGACCACCGCCGCGCCGGTCTCGGTAAGTTCGCAAATGGCAGTGCGTGTGAACGCAGCATGTGTTTGTGCCCCGAGGTGGTTGCGCTCGTGAAACGGTTGTGGTGGGTTGTGGCTCCATGGCAGCCAGTAACCGTTAGCGATGACAGAGAGGATGAGGCTGCTAGGGCACCACGAGCTCCACCATGCAAGGGTTGTGCGAAGCCGCCCGCGCATTTGCGTGACAGATTTGTCAGTGACGGCGAACTCGTACGGATCTCCGTCGCCTAGCGTCTCGTATCGTGTTATCTCTGCATGTTTGCCGAGTGACAATGGCGCAGAGGTGTTAGAATGCAAGCCATCGTGCCTCAAGGAATGCGCATACGATAACGCGTGCGTAGACACATCAACAAGTCGTAATCACCGTTTGTCACCCATGGTGTCTGTGTGGCGCGGTTCGCCTCTCTCTCCCCTCTCTCTCTCTCTCTCTCTCTCCCTCTCTCTCTCTCTCTCTCTCCCTCTCTCTCTCTCTCTCTCTCCTCTCTCTCTCTCCCTCTCTCTCTCTCTCTTGCTCTCTCTCTCTCTTCCTCTCTCTCTCTCTCTCTCTCCCTCTCTCTCTCTCTGTCTCTCTCTCGCTCTCTCTCTCTCTCTCTCTCTCTCTCTCTCTCTCTCTCTCTCTCTCTCTCTCTCCCTCTCTTTCTCTCTCTCTATCTCGCTCTCGTTCACTCTTTGCATTTGCTCTTGCTTTCCCTTTATCCATGACATGCCCTCTGGCTCGTGGCCAAGATAAGGCTACCGATGCCAACGAATGGTGGGGCCGTTTGCTCGGGTTCGTGTGGGTGCTTGCCATTTTGTCGCTCTCTGGTTTTTTTTTTTTTTTTGTCATCCAAAGCCAAGATCAGAAAGTACTTTAAAAATAAAGCCCTTATAAGAAACAGGCCACACATAGCCATGCTTCCTAGCATGCATCCGCCCCGCACCGCGCGGGCCAATTTATGGGACCAAAGGCCTTTCTATTCCCTCTCCCGCCTCCTAGGCCTATAGCCTAATCATCACCCCTAACTAGGGCTTGGCTCATAGCCACCGCAAACCCCTTTGGGTTGCCCACGGTCAACGCACTTGACGTGCACCGTGCCACGCGCGCTAAGGCGCAAACGCTCAAGGACCATCCCTACACCACGGGTGCGGGTCCTTGGCCACCATTGCCATTCCGCGGACAGCCACTTGCCACATGCCCCGGCTGGCCGCAGCGGAAGCATGTCCCACGGAAGCCGTGGAAGCTCCCCATAGGCGGGCCGCGCTTGGGGTTGAAAGCCATGGGCCCGCGACCTCCGCCGCGGTGGGATCAAGCGTGCGCACCCTCCGCGCGATCCATTGCTGCCACGTCGGCGACGGCTTGCTTGAACGGGCGGGAGGTAAGGAGGCTCTTCTGCTGGTACATCTTGAACCGCTTGGCGACGCGATCGTCGGTTGCGTCCTCGACTTGAAGCATGTCGTAGCGCTCCGAAATATAGTCGAGGGCGCTCGCGACCATTTCAAGTCCGCCCGCCGCGTCGCCGCGCTGCAGTTTGTACTCCGCGTGCTTCAGGTAGGCCCTCAGGTCCTCCAGGGGCTCCACTTTCGCTCGCACGATTGGGTCGATGAAGTTTGCCGCCGAAAAAGTGGGGTTAGTGCAAGGGAGGGGAGGGAGATTTTCCATGGGGGGAAAATTTGTTGCGTTGTTCGGAGCCTCACCGGCGTCGTCGTCTGAGTCGTCGGAGTCGTTGTTGACTGCGGCAGCTTCAGGAGCACTGGTAACCGCCTCCTTGTCGTGGCGGCGCGTTGATGGTCCTTTTGCTCCTTTCTCCTTTTTTGCAATGTCGTTTTTAGCCGATGCAGATGCTGCAGGTTGTGTAGTTTCGGCGGCGATCGCGCTAGCGGGGTGCTGCTGTAACAGGGACAGGAGGGCCTTGACTTGGTCCGGGGTCAACGCCTCGGTCAAGGCCTGGTCAGCCGTCGCGTCAGATGAGGCAGCAGTACGGCGCCTCTGGCGCTGACGCGACGGACGGCCGGAGGCGTGTGCCGCTGGCGCGTGCTCCGCGTCCGTGGCGTGTGTCGCCACGTTCGCCACTGGCGCCACAGACGCCACTGGCGCCACAGGTGCCACTGGCGCCACAGGCGCCGAAGGGTGCTGGGGGTGCTGCTCGGCGTTTTTGTTGACTTCGAGCCCGCCCAGCAGCACGTCCACGGCGGTCGGGGCGGATGTTTCGCCGTCTGCCCGGCGCTTGTTGCGACGCTCGCCCGTCGTTTCACGGGCATTACGGTCGTTGTCGGAAATTATTGGGTCGTTGGCGACGATGTTGTTGGCACGGTTAAGCGTCGGCGTTGCAGCCATCGTTGAGCGGTTTTGGTTAAGGATGTCGGCTAATAAAGTTGAAGGGGAAACGCCTCTAGGTAATGAGCGAGTTCTCGCCAGCTTGAACGGTAAAACTAGAAGTGAGCTCGAGAAAGTGAAGTTGCATGAGCCGTTGGAAAACGAGAGACGTGGGTGGAGGGAAATGAGCTCCAACCCACGACTTGTAGTTGGAGAAGGGCGTTTAGCGCGCTTCGACGATGCCAAAACATGCGTTACAAGCAGCTGCGCTTTTGAAATACGTAATTTTGAAAAACACTTCGTGTGTTTAAAAATTATAATATGTGCAAAATTGCAAGAACAAGGGCCTAGCGTGTGCAAACTTGCAAGAACAAGGGCCTAGCGTGTGCAAAATTGCAAGAACAAGGGCCTAGCGTGTGCAAAATAGCAAGAATAAGGGCCTAGCGTGTGCGAAATAGCAAGAACAAGGGCCTAGCGTGTGCAAAATAGCAAGAACAAGGGCCTAGCGAGTGCAAAATTGCAAGAACAAGGGTCTAGCGAGTCCAAAATTGCAAGAACAAGGGCCTACCGTGTGCAAAAAAGCAAGAACAAAGTCCTAGCGTGTGCAAAATTGCAAGAACAAGGGTCCAGCATGTGCAAAAAAGCAAGAACAAGGGCCTAGCATGTGCAAAATTGCAAGAACAAGGGCCTAGAAAGTGCAAAATAGAAAGAACAAGGGCCTAGCGTGTGCAAAATAGCAAGAACAAGGGCCTAGCAGGTGCAAAATAGCAAGAACAAGGGCCTAGCGTGTGCAAAATTTCAAGAACAAGGGCCTAGCGTGTGCAAAATAGCAAGAACAAGGGCCTAGCGAGTGCAAAATTCCAAGAACAAGGGCCTAGCGTGTGCAAAATTGCAAGAACAAGGGCCTAGCGTGTGCAAAGGTTCAAGACCAAAGGCCTAGCGTGTGCAAAGTTCCAAGAACAAGGGCCTAGCGTGTGCAAAATAGCAAGAACAAGGGCCTAGCGTGTGCAAAATTTCAAGAACAAGGGCCTAGCGTGTGCAAAATAGCAAGAACAAGGGCCTAGCGAGTGCAAAATTGCAAGATAAGGGCCTAGCGTGTGCAAAATTGCAAGAACAAGGGCCTAGCGTGTGCAAAATAGCAAGAACAAGGGCCTAGCGTGTGCAAAATTGCAAGAACAAGGGCCTAGCATGTGCAAAATAGCAAGAACAAGGGCATAGCATGTGCAAAATAGCAAGAACAAGGGCCTAGTGTGTGCAAATTCGCAAGAACAAGGGCCCAGCGAGTGCAAAATTGCAAGAACAAGGGTCTAGTGAGTCCAAAATTGCAAGAACAAGGGCCTACCGTGTGCAAAATTGCAAGAACAAGGGTCCAGCGTGTGCAAAAAAGCAAGAACAAGGGCCTAGCGTGTGCAAAATTGCAAGAACAAGGGCCTAGAAAGTGCAAAATAGCAAGAACAAGGGCCTAGCGTGTGCAAAATAGCAAGAACAAGGGCCTAGCATGTGCAAAATTGCAAGAACAAGGGCCTAGCGTGTGCAAAATTTCAGGAACAAGGGCATAGCGTGTGCAAACTTGCAAGAACAAGGGCCTAGCGTGTGCAAAATTGCTAGAACAAGGGCCTAGCGTGTGTAAAATTGCAAGAACAAGGGCCTAGCGAGTGCAAAATTGCAAGAACAAGGGCCTAGCGAGTGCAAAATTGCAAGAACAAGGGCCTAGCGTGTGCAAAATTGCAAGAACAAGGGCCTAGCGTGTGCAAAGGTTCAAGACCAAAGGCCTAGCGTGTGCAAAGTTCCAAGAACAAGGGCCTAGCGTGTGCAAAATAGCAAGAACAAGGGCCTAGCGTGTGCAAAATTTCAAGAAGAAGGGCCTAGCGTGTGCAAAATAGCAAGAACAAGGGCCTAGCGAGTGAAAAATTGCAAGATAAGGGCCTAGCGTGTGCAAAATTGCAAGAACAAGGGCCTAGCGTGTGCAAAATAGCAAGAACAAGGGCCTAGCGTGTGCAAAATTGCAAGAACAAGGGCCTAGCGTGTGCAAAATAGCAAGAACAAGGGCATACCGTGCGCAAAATAGCAAGAACAAGGGCCTAGTGTGTGCAAATTAGCAAGAACAAGAGCCCAGCGAGTGCAAAATTGCAAGAACAAGGGCCTAGCGAATGCAAAATTGCAAGAACAAGGGCCTAGCGTGTGCAAAATAGCAAGAACAAGGGCCTAGCGTGTCCAAAATTGCAACAACAAGGGCCTAGCGTGTGCAAAATAGCCAGAACAAGGGCCTAGCGTGTGCAAAATTGCAAGAACAAGGGCCTAGCGTATGCAAAATAGCAAGAACAAGGGCCTAGCGTGTGCAAAATAGCCAGAACAAGGGCCTAGCGTGTACAAAATTGCAAGAACAAGGGCCTAGCGTGTGCAAAATTGCTAGAACAAGGGCCTAGCGTGTGTAAAATTGCAAGAACAAGGGCCTAGCGAGTGCAAAATTGCAAGAACAAGGGCCTAGCGAGTGCAAAATTGCAAGAACAAGGGCCTAGCGTGTGCAAAATTGCAAGAACAAGGGCCTAGCGTGTGCAAATTGTCAAGACCAAGGGCCTAGCGTGTGCAAAGTTCCAAGAACAAGGGCCTAGCGTGTGCAAAATAGCAAGAACAAGGGCCTAGCGAGTGCAAAATTGCAAGAACAAGGGCCTAGTGTGTGCAAAATTGCAAGAAAAAGGGCCTAGCGTGTGCAAATTTTCAAGACCAAGGGCCTAGTGTGTGCAAAGTTCCAAGAACAGGGGCCTAGCGTGTGAAAAATAGCAAGAACAAAGGCCCAGCGTGTGCGAAATTGCAAGAACAAGGGCCTAGCGTGTGCAAGCTTTCAAGAACAAGGGCCTAGCGAGTGCAAAATTGCAAGAACAAGGGCCTAGCGAGTGCAAAATTGCAAGAACAAGGGCCTAGCGTGTGCAAAATAGCAAGAACAAGGGCCTAGCGTGTGCAAAATAGCAAGAACAAGGGCCCTAGCGAGTGCAAATTGCAAGAACAAGGGCCTAGCGTGTGCAAAATTGCAAGAACAAGGGCCTAGCGTGTGCAAAATTACAAGAACAAGGGCCTAGCGTGTGCAAAATAGCAAGAACAAGGGCCTAGCGTGTGCAAAATTGCAAGAACAAGGGCCTAGCATGTGCAAATTGTCAAGACCAAGGGCCTAGCGTGTGCAAAGTTCCAAGAACAAGGGCCTAGCGTGTGCAAAATAGCAAGAACAAGGGCCTAGCGAGTGCAAAATTGCAAGAACAAGGGCCTAGTGTGTGCAAAATTGCAAGAAAAAGGGCCTAGCGTGTGCAAATTTTCAAGACCAAGGGCCTAGTGTGTGCAAAGTTCCAAGAACAAGGGCCTAGCGTGTGCAAAATAGCAAGAACAAAGGCCCAGCGTGTGCGAAATTGCAAGAACAAGGGCCTAGCGTGTGCAAACTTTCAAGAACAAGGGCCTAGCGTGTGCAAAATAGCAAGAACAAGGGCCTAGTGAGTGCAAAATTGCAAGAAAAAGGGCCTAGCGTGTGCAAGATAGCAAGAACA